AGGAAAGTTCGTGACACACTTTCCCCAGAGACCCAGTAACCAAAACACGCTCATGGGCCCACGTTTTAGGAATGCCTTGCTTTCTACGACCCCACGGCCTAATCCACTTACTGTTGTATGTGTGCGTTTGAGTGGGTTTTTTTTAATCATTTTTTTTTGGTAAGTGTTTTACGGCGCTCGCAGCTGTATCAGGTCATATGAGCGCGTTTGCGTGGTAGTGTAAATGAAACCTACTCCCACATATCTAGAGTGTCCTCTGAACCAAGGAAATCTTACCTTTGAACTCTACCTACCCTGATTTCTCAGCCCCACCCACGTTTAGAACCACCGACCGCCACTGCCCCTTCCTCTGGGCTCCTGGCTCTTTCTGTAGCCTTTCTACGACTACTCCTTGACTCCTTCTTATTGCGGTCTTTCAGCCATACCCTTGATCTTCTGATAGGAAAGATCTACACCTAGCCTCCTCGGACAAGGCCAAACAATCTCGGAGGGCCCGTCTGCAAGTTGCGAACAAAAAATCCCTTGGTGGTCCAAAATCGATAAGAGTTAGGTTTCGGCCGCCACCCGAACAAAATTCAAAATTTCCTACCAACTGAAAAAGTTGAATGTGTCCCACGCGCTCATATGACCTTATGCAGTAGCGAGCGTCGTGCGTAAAACACTTTTTAAAAATCCCAGTAGCAGTCTATTCCTAACATGTTATAAAGCAAAGAAGAACATGTCCTCTTTGGATTCTGAAGACTACTTGTTAATATTGTTATTCGCAGCCGACTATCTAACTTACTTACTATCTCCCTTTACAGTCAGGTACATAAGGCTTCGGTTCGGACACGGATTTTTTTCGCCCCCTCCTGCCCATCCAGCAGTAATGGGTACCTGACTTTGAGTTGGGGAAGTAAAGGCGGCGTGGATAGGAACTGGCCACCCTACCACAATATGCCGCAGGCCCAGGAAGTTGCCTCACTAACAAGGCAACCCCCAATGTCCGGAGCGGATACGGAACAACTTTACTTTTTTTTACAGCGGAGAGAAGTCGACGCCACGTTTGCCTTTCCCTGGCCACCTTGTCCAGTCTCAGCACATCCAGGCCTTGGGTGATTGGGCGTCATCCCAAACTGTGCCTCTATATTTACTATGATGTTCGTCCTTCGCTGGCGAAGATCACCTTGACTTCACATCACTGAAAGGGTGGGGTGTGTGAGGCCGATCTTCGCTAGGAAATGTCTGTTGCAGTGGGAGCAGGGGATGTTTGGGGCTGAGTTAGGCTGGAAGGTAGGGCTCTCTCGGTCTTTTCTCAGCTGCCGTCTCCATTCTTTCTTTCTGACGCGACTTTCTTCGAATTTGACCCCTCCCGATCTTATTAAGGAGCGCCAAACTATTTACTATAATTTCTAGTCAGGTACTTATTTTTCTGTTTCCATTTGGACTCCTTTAGGGCCCGTGTCCACTGAGACGGATCCCAACTGACCCGATTCCGTCCGTCTCTCTGAAAGTCGGTAGTTGAAATGGAGCACCGATTATTCCTAAGAAATCAGTGAAAAGTCCGTTTGCCTGTGTCAACAGACACGAAACGACACGACACGACACGACACGACACGACACGACACGACACGACACGAACGCCCCGACAAAAGACGGGTCGGTTGGAAAGCCGCTTGTTGCATTTTAGCTTGGCCGGATGGTGACTCTTGAGCCATAGGCCAAGCCGGAGCTTTAAAAAGATTCTAATTAAGAGTTCGGATTAAAATTCTAATGTCATATTCGTAACCAGTGCCACAAAATTAGCAATGTCTACGTGCAAACCACCTGATTTAAATGCACATTAACAATTTAACCAATTTCCCTTTAAAATCCCATTCATTTCTTATTCCAGCCTTGGGTTCATTGACCTCGACTATTTATAGACATGTACCGAGGACACAGCCTTGGGACACAGTGTGTGGGATAAGACGGCCAGTAGGCCAACAGACTAGACGTGTCTTGTCCGGACTGGTGGACACACGAGACCGAAAGACCTGACTGATTTTCTTCCTCCCGGCAAAAGGTCGCGCCGTGTCCGTCTCCGTGGACACGTAGGGTGACCGTGTGTAAAAAGGCAAGATTTTTTAAAACATGTCCTAAATGTCTCCATCTTCTCTTTTTTATGGTCGTGTCGATATCTTCAATTCCAGTTCTCATTCCAACGTTTCATTATAGATCTATATGTGATAAGTTCATTCCATTTTATTTTTAAAAAATTAATCATAAACATTTTGTTTAGAAGCTTTTTCATTTTTGCAGAATAAGTTTGTTTGTTTTTCATAGCTCTGAACTGTGCATCGGTAAAGACAAAATATTGCTGTTATATATACTTCAATTTCGTCTTCAATAAAAAAAATTATATTTTTTTGTAAGTGTTTTACGGCTCTCGCAACTGCATAAGGCCATGAGCGTGGCCTAGAGGTTAAGGTGTTCGCCTCTCATTCAAAGGTTCCGGATTCGAATCCGTGTAGCGACCGACAAATTTTCTTCTCTAAAATTGTTTTCTTTCGTCTCCTTTCCTGCTCTCTGGCAATGTTCTGTCGTCTACATTCGTCTCCACTTTCTGCCCCCACCCCCTCACCTCCTTTGCCCCCTCCTTTGGGCTCCAGACTTTCTACAGCCTTTCTACAGCTACTCCTTGGCTCCTTCTTACTGTCTTTCAGTTACACCCCTGATCTTCTAGAAGGAAAGCTCTACACATAGCCTTCTCATATAAGGGCGAAAAATCTCGGAGGTTATGTGCGTAAGTTGAGCAAGTTAAAAATCCCTTGGTGGTCTAAATCGATTAGAGTAGGCTTCGG